CTGTCAGCCATATCAAGTAGGGACATGCAAATTAAAACTAAAAGGAGATACCAGTATACTGCTACTTGAATAGCTAAGACTAGAAACACTGACCAACTAGAGCAACTTCAAGTCTCATACACTAGGATTTTAATCTGGTATAAGCATTTTGGAAAAGAGTTTGATAGTTTCTTAAAGAGTCAATCATATGACTCGGCCATTCTATTTCTAAGTACTTACCTAAGAGAAATGAAAGCATAATTTCATAGGAAAGCTTGTTCATAAATGTTCATAGCTTTATCTATAATAGCCAAAACCTGGAAATAACCTAAATGTCCATCAACAAGTAAGTAGATCATTAAATTGAGATATACCCATACAATAACATTGCATGTCAATAAAAAGAAATGGACTGACATTTACAACATGAATGAATCTTAGAATAATTATGCTGAGTGAAAAATATGAGTATGCATACTTCATAACTGTATTTATATAAAAAGGAAAATAATCCACAGTGGTAGAAATCAGATCACTGGTTGCCAGTGGGGGTCAGGTGGAATTTGGAAGGGTGGGAGGAAGGGCTTACAAAGAGGCAGGAGGAAACTTGGGCATATGGGTGTGTCATCTTGATTGTGGTGATAGTTTCAAGGAGATATACATTTGTAAAAACTTACCAAATTGTACATTTTATATATGCAGTGTTTATGTCAATATTCCTTTGCAAAGCTTTAAAGAAAAAAATAAAGGTAAGTTTTATTTATCTCTTTATAGACTTGTTTTTACCAATTTGAATTGCTGTTACTTATTAGCTCATATTTCCCTTTTTTAGACCCTGAGCTCCTTGAAGTCAGGAATTCATTCTATTTTTGTTCCAAGTGTCTATCACTGGGATTGTTTAATGTATATGTAACAAATAACATGCAAAAAGAGTATAAATCAATCAATGAGTACATAATACTGAACACGTACTATGCATTAGGTAGGGTCTTTGGAAAACTTCTCCAAGCCTTACTTGAGATGATCATATCTTAGAAAATAAGAATAAAAAAGCTAGATTTGTTTATAAATCTAGAAATGTACACCAGAGTAAAATAAGCAAAAGGAACCATGCACTAATCTGAAAAACTTGACCATAGCAATATTTTAATTCCTAATATTAGCAAAATTATTTCTTGGCACAGTTGACCCTGCTTGATATGTATGCACCTTAGATTAAATAAACCAACATGAAATAAGACCCCACTTCTGGTGTCACAACTTGAGGGAGGTAGACTATTGAGAATCAGGCTGAATGGGGTTGGGCAAGATAAGGGGACTCCTAGAAGATTTTGTCTGGAGTAAGAACATAGTCAGTTGAGTCATGGAGTTGTCCTTCTTTGTTCAGTGGCTAATTAATAGGCCTTTTCATTTTTTTAAGACCCTAGAGTTCAGCATATGATGAGGTTGGTTGATGCAGTTGCATTAAGAAAGCTTGGGATAATCTCCCTTCACACCCCACTCTCTCACTCTCCCTATACACAACATTAACTTCTCTAGGCACCTGTCAGAAACACAATCATTGTACTTTGTGCTGTGGGGAATATGAGGAGGTACTGTCCTGATGGGGTTTATAGTCTAATTAGAGAGAGAAAATATCAAAACATGACAAAAGTAGCCAAACCACCAGAAAGTGGTAAATACCAAAAAAGTAGGAAAGACCAGAGCTCATAGGTAGGATTTACCTTTTGGCCAGGGAAGCTTCAGAAAACAGATGGGAGTTTTAGCTCATCATATAGGACTACAATAAGCTAAAAGGAGAACAAAGAACACTGAGAGGTGAGGTGACAAAGGTGAGATGGGGAAATAGGATGGAAGAAAAAAAATTAACAAAAGTAAACAATCTAATGAAATAAAACAGCATTGCCTTTAGGCAAACTTAAAAACAGCATGTGGTAGTTTTAGAAGGAAAGAATTTTAAAAAACCTGACTCAATCATTTTTAATTCTTCAAACCAGCTTATATACGTATATAGCGATTATTTTACTTCATAAGTTATAACTTGAATACTGGTGTCACAGTTCTCTCAAATTTAATTGGTGATGCATAATGCAGAAGGTAGAGATGGTGATTCTTAAAAACTAAGTTCACTAATTAAATTCTACATGAGGGGACTTTCAGTGACTCTATTTGGGAAATAGTTTAAATCAGGTGAGTGAAAATAACTGTTTATACTAATGTTATGTATGTATGTATGTATGTACTAGGGACGGATTTGTCAACTATGCAAATAAAGGGCTATTAATCAAATAGACTAGTTGATATTTGGTCTATGCTATAACTGATCATATGCAATAATCTAATGCAAAGAACCCTAACACTAGTATATGATAAATTATAAAAAAATTAGCTACTTGAGATGTCTGATCATCTCAGGAAGTTTAAGCAACTATGCAGTTCCCACATCCTTAGCTGAAGGCGGATGACAGTGCACAATAAACTGACCTTTTATGTCCTTTTTTCAGTAAAGGACATAAATTATAACAACCCTTTGCGGTCGTGTTAAATTTGGACATGGGTGTCGTACTGGTCAGAATTAATTTCCATTGAAAGAGCAGTGATACATAACATGCAATGTCGGGGCAATGTTTTGGTTTGTCACAAGGTTGCTGAGACATTTAAGAGCTTTCAGAGAAATTATGAACTGATACATGAATGAATAGAGTTAAGATTCGTATGGTTTCTTGCTGTGGTGGCTGAGAGCAGACATACGACTGCAAAGGGTTAAATCAATGGAGTGGGAATGACAAAGTCACTTAAAAGTACTTCTGTGATTAAATGGTCTATGTTCAGATTGTACTGTGGCCGATTTCAATAAAGGATACCTTGAGTGAAAAGTGTTTTATTTCTGTATAACTTTTATACAAAAAAAGCATGCTTTTGTGCCTCACTCCACGCTAGAGAATACTGGAATAAGATTCATACTTAAAATGAGAGGGATTTATACAGTTGTAGAGCAAGAGCTGATCTTAGAGACCATCTAGTTCAAACATCTCGTTTTACAAATGAGGAGACAGGCCCAGAGGTCAGAGTGAGACTGATGTTTACGGGAGATTAGCCTAGCAGCATGGGGATGACACTGTGGGGCAGTCCCAGGGGCAGGTTTGGGTAGGCCTGGGTCAGGCTGTGGTGTTTTCTCCAGTGGCTGGAAGTACATACCATCAGAAGGATGACCGCGAATTAGAGCTCAAGTTAAGACAAAAGGAGCAGAGTCTGGCATAGTTCCAGAGGAGCAATGGAAAAAGATGCCATAGCTGAGATAAGAACACTCTGGGGAACAGACTCCAAGGCTCAAAGAGGTATTGAATACCTACAAAGCAAGGATGCCAAGGACACATTGTTTGTGAGATTTGTCCATGATGTGGAAGAAAACTTGGCATCCAGTTGGAAGTTCAGACTTGGACTGCAAATAATAATGCAAAATTGAATAAAACTGAGCAATACTGGTGTCTTCCAAAAACCTGATAAACTGGCCCATCTTCTTTTTTTGGATCCATAGAAACCATTTCCTATTGTTATTTTCCTTCTTGGGACTTTCTGAGGCCTTATAACAAGTACAAAAGAGGGTTTCATAGGCTTAGAAGGAGGCAAAGTTAGATTTGATTCCCAGCTTTGATGCCGGCCAGGAAAATAACTTTGGACAGATTACAAATTCCTTGAGCTTAAGTTTTTTTCATCTGCAAAATGGAGATGACAGCACCCTCTAATTCAAAGGGTTGTTTGGAGAATAATTTATCTAAAATTCCCAGCACAGAATATATCAATAGATAGTGTTTTCTATGATGCTAGATTTGTTTTACAGAATTACATATTTTGAAGAATATAACCTAGTTTTGCTCTTCCTTAGAATAGTCTGCCTCATCCACTAAGTTCTAACCTTATAATTTGACTTTCAGGGATACAGTTGCCTACAAGTTCTGGGCATTTTACTTTATTCCTCTAAGTACACGGCTGTAAATTACAGAGTGATCAGCATAATCCTAGGGCTTGAGATATGTATTATTCTTTCATCATCATAGCTCTTAGTTATTTCAATCCAATAACTAATATGCACTTGATTATCAGATGCACAGACAGTGGAAGAGACCAGCCAAGAAGGAAGAATAAAAGAGCTCTCTCTCTGTGAAGAGTACTGGAGATGCTTAATCCCCCATGTAATGAAACACCTAATCCAGAATCACGGGAACTTATTCCATCCTAGCAAAACAAAGGTTAAAGGGGATTATGATTGTGTCTGCACTGCAGTCCCGTAGCACTGTGAAAACAGATGAAAATTAAGGAGAAAATTATTTTTTTGATTACCCTAAAAGTTCAGTTCCCCTTCCACGGGATTCACAAATTTTCAGGTTGGCTGTCTCTTTTTCCTTAAGTTTTCAAAGATGCAATCTGAATGGATATTGACTATCTAAATGGAAATAACTGTCTTTGTTGAAATAATAGGATAAAATAATTGGGCTCTAAGAACCTAGAGAGATGATTTAATATAATATTTCAATTTATAAAATAATTAAGCCTGTAAAATTACTCACTATAATATGCAGTGATTCCTAGACTTCTGGATTTCATAGGCTAGTACACATTTTTTAAATTAGGAGGTTGGCCCTAGCCAGTTTGCTCAGTGGTTAGAGCGTCGCCCCATGGACTGAAGGGTCTCAGGTTTGATTCCAGTCAAGGGCATGTACCTGGGTTGCAGGCTTGATCCCTGGCCCCAGTCAAGGTGCGTGCGGGAGGCAACCAATTGATGTGTCTCTCTCATATCGATGTTTCTCTCTTTCTTTCTCTCTCTCTCTCCCTCCCACCCTCTTACTCTGAGTAGCAATGGGAAAAATACCCTTGGGTGAAGATTAAAAAAAATTAGGGGGTTGATATAAGCTCTGTTTTTGTTGTTGTTTGTCCATTGGGTTTATCATCTAGTATCATCATCTCTTCATCCTAGGATCCTAGGTGGCCACTAACTGTTGGTTGCATGTTTGGGAGCTACTATGGCAGTAAGTTAACAGACTTTGAATTAAGCTTTAGTAATAAAGAGAAGTATCTTTAATGCAGCTGGACCCATTTAGACATCTTTCAAGTTTATTCTAGTGTGGGCTGGAACTGAGAGGGGCCACTTTCAATAGGCTACATTGACTGAGATGACAGTAATCTGGGATAAAAGAAATTCTGTTGGTATGGTCATGGCTAGACAATTGAAACCAGCTCCATGGCCTTAGGCAAGTCATATTACCTCTTTGAATCTAATTTTTATCACATAGAATATAAAAAAAGTCCCCCCACAGAGAAAATCTATAAACTCTGGAAAATACAAAGCTCTGAGGAGTGAACAAAATTTCAACATATTCTGAAGAGGTGATGGTATTTGGATGAAGGAAATGACATGGTATGAGTTTCCCATTTTTTATTGCTTTTAACTCAGGGGCAGGATGCAGTCAGCATACATGGGGCAGCTAAAACTTCCCTAGAAACCTTCACTATTTCTGGCATAAAAAACCAATCACAGAAACTAGGGAACGATACAGTCAGGTTGGCTTTAGGTGAACCCAAGAAGCTAACGGGTAAGATGTCTGCTTATGCCTTCTTTGTGCAGACATACAGAGAGGAACATAAGGAGAAAAACCCAGATATTCCTGACAATGTTGCAGAATTTTCCAAGAAGTGCTCTGAGAAGTGGAAGACAATGCCTGGGAAAGAGAAGTCTAAATTTGATGAAACAGCAAAGACAAAGAGAGTACGCTACGATCGGGAAATTAAGGATATGGACCAGCTGAGGGAGGCAAGAAGACAACAGACCCTAATGCCCAAAGGCCAACATCTGGATTCTTCCCGTTCCGTTCAGAATGCCGCCTCGGGATCAAATCCACAAACCCTGGCATCTCTACTGGAGATGTGGCAAAGTAGCTGGAAAAGATATGGAATAACAAGTGGTAGTGAAAAGCAGCCTTACTCCAACAAGGCTGCAAAGCCGAAGGAGAAGCATGAGAAGGATGCTGCTGACTCTAAGTCCAAAGGAAAGCTTGACGGCGCGAAGTGTCCTACTCAAGTTACCTGGAAAAAAGTGGAAAAGGAAGACAGAGAAGACAAGAAGGAGGAAGAGGAACAGAAAACCTGTTTATCTGCCTCTTGTGAGTACCTTAGAGTAGGGGAGAGCCATAGCTGACAGCGCCTATCTCAGATGTGTTTGTTGCCCTCATTAGGATTCATTACACAACTGGACGATGATCGTGTTGTGTGGTCTCTCAACATGCTCTAGAAGTTGTCAGTGGCTTACATGAAGTGGTCATGGGAGTCCAGAGCACCCTGGAACTGTATCAAAGTTGTACATATTTCCAAACATTTTTCAAATGAAAAGGCTCTCACGTTCTCTTCACTCTCTACACCTTTTCTGTGGGTGTGAAAAGGCATTTAAAGATGTATCTGGCATTTTCTTTTTTACTCTGTAAGGTTGTATTAACTACATGGTTATTGACTGGAAATCCTGAGTTATCAACTGTACATATCTATGGTTTATAAAAAGAACAAGACAACAGAGAGAAGCTCTTAATGCTCTTTGCTTGGTTTGGAGGCTATGAGGAAGATGCCTTTTGAAGGGGCCATTGCTCAGCATGTGCACTGTGAGGCTGGACCTGTGGACACTGCAGTGGGCATCACTTAGCTTCAGGTTGTCTTGTTTTTGTATGCAGTGACATAGCATTCTGCTGCCATCCTTAAGTGTAGAAAAGAGGGGTGAGGTGGCATGAGAAGTATTTGGATTTTTTTTAGTGAAATGCAATAGTTTAAAACTGTTTTTAAACAAACTGTAGAACTCTTTCATTGTCAGCAAAGTGAAGAGCCACTGCATAAAAGAAAGTTCAAGATCCTCTGTACTAAACACAATTTGCAATGTTTTGTTATTTTTTTGTATGTTTAGAATGCTGATATGTTTTGAAGTAAAAAAACAACAACAGTATTACATTTAAAATAAAAAGAACCATCACAGTTCCTAGAACGGGGGTGGATCTGAGAAAAAAAGAGCCAGAGATGGTGAACAACATGTCCTATGCATATATTTTGTGTAAATCTCTAACTGACCCCTATACCAGGGAACACTGCAAGCAGCTCAGCTACCAATAAAAGAACTGAACTGGTATCTGAGTTGCTGCCCAAGAGGGTATTTTCAGTTTGAGGCAAGTCAAATTTCCCACTAAAATAACAACAACAAAATCAGTAATCTTTGCAAGAACATAACATAACCCAGAGTCTCCACAACAGCACTCATAATATACAGAATGCAATCTAAAATTTAAAAATCTGGAACATTTGATACATTTTCAAGGGAAAGGAAAATCAGTGAAGTCATACCATGATAACTAATAACCCAGATGTTGAAATTAGTAGAGAAGGATTTTGAAGCAGTTATAACTGTGCTCAGTGACATAAAAATATGTTCATAAAGAATGAAGAAATATAAAATAAAGGTGTTCATTTTTNTAGAACTCTTTCATTGTCAGCAAAGTGAAGAGCCACTGCATAAAAGAAAGACAGTTTGAAGCTATTACTTCAGACAGTTTGAAGCTATTACTTCAATGTCTTCTATAAAGAGACACAGTTCTTGCCTTCATAGAGTTTATAGTCTAAGAGTAAAATAATTGATGGGGTACAATGTCACTTTAGCTGTACTGTTTGTTCTGTAAATCTGTTATTCTAAGAATAGGGAATGGAGAAGAATCCTTAATATATACATGTGTATCCAGATACCACTGACTTGTATAGCAAAGATCCAATTGAATTAAGGTCAGAAATACTCATTTGACTTCATAATTTTTATAGGCAGTGGCCACAAAGGCAACTAAGTCAGGTCTGACACCTAAAGACAAATAATAGTAATAATTAATAATAATAATAAAACAGCAGCAATAACTATAACAGTACTAGCTCATGTTTGTATACCGCTTAACCGTTTACAAAATAACCTGCACTTTTATTTTGAAATTTGAGCCTATCAACCATCCTATAAAATATGGGGCAAGTATTAACAATTGGAGGGTCCATTTGGAAATAAAAGCAGGAGTAGTATATCCACATGGAATTCTTCTTTTCAAAGACATAAATTGACTACATAAATGACAGGCATTCACCCAGATCTTCATTTCTAGTAAGCTCTCAGTGGCTATCTAAATTTCAAAGGAGGAAAACAAGCTTTACCTGACATGAAAACAACAATAAACATTTGGGACTATCAAAGCACTCTAGCAACTGTCTTTTCTGGAAACCTATCTTAAGAATGAGTTGTTCCATGATAATTAGAGTGTGAAATGTACCCAGTTTCACATTTCAATGCTCCTTCCCAATTAGAATGGCATTAGAGTGAAAGTGAGGCCATATAATTGTATGAAGAATAGATCTAATTTTCCCAATGTCACTGCAGTATCACCTTTTGGGACTAACAGCACTGAATGATTACGCATATCATTTGGTAATTGTATTTTTATCCATTTCGCACTGGAGCTGACTTTTAAAAGTGGACATACAATTAGGTCATAAATGAATGCACATCAACCGGCCCTCATAAGATAACAATATGTCAGCATTAACCCAGCTGCATTTTTAACTACTGTCAGTGACCATGTTTGTGGCTTGTCAACACTCAGCAGTGATGAACACAGTCAGGGATTATGAACTTGGCCTTTAATAATAAAAAGAAAGTGACAGAGAAACTCTGACTCAGAGAGAGTGGCCTTCACAAGCTGATTGCTTGGCTGGCTATTGGGTGTAACCACTAAACAGCTTGTTTAGAGAATCAAGACAGCAGATCAAGAGCAAATGCCCATCGTTGCTGCTAGATGCTAGTCTTTGAGAGCTGCCTAGAAAATGTGTGTTTCTAGAGATGAGCCTATCATTCTATCTCAGAGGCTCGAAAATAGATAATCCCTGGGGGGAAAAAGGATGTCCGTAGTGCCAATTAATCATGGCATATATTGCTGGAAATAGTTCAGGTCAGGAGTGGAAATGTATATAACCATCTACATATATGCATGACCTATGGACACAGACAATAGAATGGAGAAGGCCTGGGGGTGGGGGTGGGCAGAGGTGGATGCTGGGTGGAGGGGACCAATGGGGGGGGAAAGAGGGACATCTGTAATACTTTCAACAAAAAAGATAAATAAAAAATAAATAAATAAATAATGGCAGTTACTAAAAGTAAAATGTACAGGATAAGGTGAGGTTAAGGCTCTAAGTTATACTTTCGAGACTTCCTGAATACTACTGAACTCTCTAATGAACAATCATAAATTTTAATAAGTACAATTATTTGGTGTGCAGTTGAAGTCTCATTATTATACTAACTAAAAGCAAATTTGTGAACCAGTCTGATCCTTGGATTAGATTGAGAGCAATCTGGGGATATTTAAATGAGAGTATTCTTTACATGGAACAAAAATAATTTTGATTTTCCTGTCCTAACAACATGGTAGTTACACCACACTCCCCTTCATTATGATGGACTGGAAATGTCTGTCAATAACTCCGTTCTCTTTACCACAGTTACTAAGGCAAGCTAATGAACTGCGCCAGTCCTGCTTAAGACCTCAGCCAGAAACCAAAGACTGTAGCACTTCTTGCAGGTTTTTGTGAAAGTCTACTGTACTTTCTTTAAAGTTTCAAACATCCATGGATGGATGGGCTGTGGCTGTATCTGCACGTGCAAAGTGGATCTTTGAGTCATTGCATTAGAGTGTTTTTCCCCTCCCAGAGGAAGAAGGCCTTGGTCCTGGTTGCAGTCCTCAGGTATGTAGGAAGGGGATCTACTATTACCCTGGCTGCAGGGGGTGAGGTCAAGGTAAGCCAACCAAAAGGCAGTATCTAGGGAGAATTGCAAATTAACTGCAGAGAGATCATTCACCCCAATCACCAGTCTGTAGGGCTCCAGGCAGAGCAGACACATGGAAATATGAAACAATGTATACAAAAGTGGGGAATCCAAATGACTGTTGGAAATTTTGAAGCAGAAGGCGGGAGAAAGAGCCTGAGAAAGAATAGGTTAAGCCTTTACTTCTTAATTTCCCCTTTTCACGGTTTACCCTGCTTTAANTGAAGCAGAAGGCGGGAGAAAGAGCCTGAGAAAGAATAGGTTAAGCCTTTCCTTTACTTCTTAATTTCCCCTTTTCACGGTTTACCCTGCTTTAACACTCAATTCCCTGACTTACAGTTGGTTACATCAAGGGTGATCTTATCTAATAGACAATGCATATCTTCAAAAAACTTATTATTAATGTTTCTGTGTCCATGGGTTGGGGTCTCAATAAATATTTGGAAAGTCTTCTTTTTAAGTTAGACAATGGTTTACCACTGTACTTAAAATGGGACCCAAACTTCTTACAGTGGACTATGATATGAANTTATTAATGTTTCTGTGTCCATGGGTTGGGGTCTCAATAAATATTTGGAAAGTCTTTTTAAGTTAGACAATGGTTTACTACTGTACTTAAAATGGGACCCAAACTTCTTACAGTGGACTATGATATGAGTCATTCCTCGCTCTTTAATTTTATCTCAACCTGCCATCTCCCTTGTCTAACGTAGCTTTTTCAGCTCCCTGAATGCCTCAGGTTCTTTGTAAACTGACTTCCTTTTGCCTGGACATCCCTTTGCTTCATCTCTTCATATGACTGGGCTTCTTTTGTTTGTGGGTGTTTTTTTTTAATATGTCTTTATTGACTTCAGAGAGAGGAAGGGAGAGGGAGAGAGAGAGAAACATCAATGAGAGAGTCATTGATCGGCTGCCTCCTGCACGTCCCCTACTGGGGACTGAGCAGGCAACCTGGGCATGTGCCCTGACCGGGAATCAACTGTGATCTCCTGGATCCTAGGTCGATGCTCAACCGCTGAACCATGCTGGCCAGGCTTTTTGTGTGTTTTTTTTCTTATCTGTTAGTTCTCAGTTTAAGTAATATCTCACCCGGCCTGCGTGGCTCAGCAGTTGAGCATCAACATATGATCCTGGAGACTGTGGTTCGATTCCTGGTTGGGGAACGTGCCTGAGTTTCGGGCTCAATCCCCAGTAGGGGTCCTGCAGGAGGCGGCCAATCAATGACTCTCTCATCATTGATGTTTCTGTCTCTCTCTCCCTCTCCCTTCCTCTCTCTGAAATCAATAAAGACATATTTAAATATTTTT